ATGTATAGATTGAATATTTATTTATATTATACCTAGCGGCTCACCCTCGCTTCGCTCGAGTTCACCTCTAGACAAGCATAAACAAACCTATCCCACGCGAAGTGTATATTTGTTCGGGATAAAAAGTAGCCTATTTGTTATTCTGATGAATGAACTATGTTATAGTAAAATTTCATTTAAATTGGTCCAACAGTTTCGGAGATTAGCCCGTACAAACAGACATACAGAGAAACAAAAAAATTGAAAAAAATCTGGATTGGTTCTATTTCTCTTCTTATTTAACTTTCGAAAATGATGAAAAAATCGACAATTATTGTCGATTCAAGAAAGCTTTTAAATAAAACTATCTTTTCGGATTTTATCGCGGATTTATTTTGATTTTTGTTCCCGACGTTTCAAAAAATTAATTTTATTTAAAATGTCAAATATTCGCGTAAACCTGAGAAAGTAATATCAAGAATGCTTGTTAAAGTCTATTTGAATAAAGTATATTTTGATTGGATTTAAGAACTTGTCCGACTCGCACTTGGCCAATTTTTATTTTTTTCTTAAAATTAAGAATTATTTAAAAATGTATAAAACAATAATTACGCTAGTTCATTTGGCAAATACATATATTTTTGGCAACTCGATTTTTGTTAAATCTTTTAATTTACGACTCGCGCATGAAGGGTTACGTACCATTATCTATAAAAACAGCAAAATAAATCACTTCTGTTGTATGGGATGGGACTTATATAGGAGGAGGTGTATGGGTTTTTTGTTTTCAACTGTTTAACTATCACGGTACATGAGATACAGCCTGGTCACAGACGCACAGACAGACGGACGGACAGCAATAAGTCAATCAGCAATCTTAGTAATAGGGACCGTTTTACCCTTTGGGTACGGAACCCTAATAAACTACTCTAAAATACTCAAACAAAAACACAGAGCCCGAACCATACTCGAAACGCGCGGTTTATCGATAACCAATCACAGCGCGAGGACCTCGGGACCCCATCAGCTGCATACCTCTATAAGCTATCTTTTTCGTACCTATGACTACGTATAAGATCATTTGTAAACTTTATTTACGCCTGGGAATGGTTTAAAACCGGTAAATTCGTCTAGCGATTTGCAAGTATTATTGAAAATTACTCAATAAATACGTGATTAAAATTTCAGATTGCCAAAAGTATATTTTTGGGAATTTTAATAAAGTATCTTTGGAGAGGTCTGGCAATACTTGATAACCGACAAAAACGTCTGGGGTTCTTTTTTTTAATTATATGAAAACTAAATTAAAAGATTAAGCAAAAATCAAGTTGCCAAAAATATGTTTTTTTGGATATTTTTTTTGCAAATGTTATATACTGCGCAGTAACGAAATAACCCCTAAAGCTATACCAGACTCGCGAAACTGGACTCGCCAATTCACGATATTATATTTTTTCACAATTTCAACTTGCCAAAAGGACCTTCCCAAAATTCGTCGCCAGCTCTCGGAATATTGTACGGAACCCTAAGAGCATGGGTCCTTCTAGCACTCGTCTGCTTTATTATTAACATACGTGAATATGTTTTAATGAGTAATCATTAAAAGCTGCCTAAAAAAAGCTTATTATACTGTTACTTACTTCCTTTTCTGTTAACTTAAAGAAGATGTCAGCATTACTGTTTTCTTTTCTTTTTCAATGAAAATATTTGCAATTAAGGAATAAATAATGTATGTTAATTACGATACAAACAAACCTCTTTTATTAAGTTTATTTATTATATGTACAGATATTATTATGTATTTAAGCGGATTTTTATTCTTTAGTATGTGTAATATATGCAGTAATGACTGTATTTGCGTGATAATAGTTGTATTTATGAACAGAATACTTTATACATTTGAATAGTACGCCCCAATAAATATTTTAGTGCACCAGAAATATTGTAATAGCATAGCCCGCGGCTCCGCCTGCTTTCACATGACCAAAAACCCAATTCTTAGGTTTTACATATTAGTATACTCTTACATTGCAGTTTTTGAATTTTTTCTCAGAAATGAGACATTTTCCCGCGGTAAAAAGTATCCTATATGTTGAACCGAATAACCAGCACTCACCATACCAAATTTAAACATGAAATCAGTTAGAATTTTTTTATATGTACAGATAAATTGTTACATAGATAAAACTCTCGTCGAAACAGAAAGTGTAATAATACATACTGATAAAAGTTCAATAAAAAATAAGATGCAGTATCCCTGTAATTATTTCTATAACTTCACTTCTCAACCTATTTTTTTGATTTTCTGGTGAACGGTACTCTATATTAAAGAAATGATCTACCTTAATAGATTACAATTTAAATCAACAAAATCGGTCAAGTTATCTCTAAGATATCGGTGAACAAACATACGAAATACATACAAATGAACGCAGAACCTCCTTCCTTTTAGAAGTTGGCTAATAATAAATTGTTTTTATTCTAAATAAATAAAATAAAACCCAAAATCAAAGTACAGCTATATCTTCATCATCATATCTTGTTTTAAAGCACCTTACTGACAATGTAGAGCTGTCCTTTCATAGAGCAAAGTATTCTGGGTTACAATTAGTATATGAATACCAGCAAGAACAAATGTTGCTTTGACAGCTGCTGCCTTACAAGTGACAAGTTCTGACAAGTGATTTGTGTCTACCAAAGTCAATGTCTCACCGCTCACGTACAGGTCGTTTCAGACGTTATATTCTCTCTCGAAAGGCATCGCTATATAGAGCTGCATAATTAAGAAATTTTACTTATTTTTTGAATTAGTTGTGTTGAGAGAGCATTACAAGCTAGTAATAAATATATTTGAAATGTATATTTAAATTAAAAAAAAATACACTTTGTACTGATCCAAATATGAGAATTATTTCATATAGCGCTTATCTAATATAGAAAAAAAATCTTTATATAATAATTAATAAAATAAATTAAAAAATAATCTTAATAGAGCAAACTTTACAAGGAAAATCTATAAAAAAAGACAAAGAATGAGAAATTCTAATCAAAATAACAAGCATGTAATTCCCATTCCAGCATGTAAATGAGTAGACATCATGGACGAAAACACCATGGTTGATGGTATAATTCTTTTTTTTTATAGAAACTGACGTGATTATTAAATATCACTTGTTTTATTCCCTATTTCTGGCATCCAGTAAACAAATCTATATATAAATAGGCTGAGACGTATATTTTTCTTCTGTGTTGGTCAACCGATATATTTTTTGGTCAGTAGTTATTGATGAGCATTAAGTAAAAGTAGGTAAGAATTATGATGGTCCAATTTCAACAACTGGGTGAACATTTTAGGTATAATTAAGAGATTGTGCACTCGTAAGTCACATTCTTGTATATTATATTATGTGTTGATCATATTTTTTACTAGGCAGTGGTAGCCCAGTGGTAACGCGCTCGCTTGGGAAACCGAGTGAAGCGGGTTCAAATCCCAGGTCTCGCACCTCTGATATTTTCATGTGCGAATCATTTCTTACATGATTACCACTTGCCTTACGGTGAAGGAAAACATCGTGAGGAAACCTGCATGTCTGAGAAAACCTAGCAAGTTTTCGAAAGACATGTGAAGTCTGCCAATCCGCACTTGGCCAGCGTGGTGGACTATGGCCTGATCCCCCTCATATGAAGGGAGGCCCGTGCCCAGCAGTGGGGTGTTAAAAGGGCTGAATACATACATACATATTTTTTTCATCGTACTCGAGTGCGTAAGTAAACTTACGGCGCTCCATTTAGACGAAATATGTTCTGCTGGGTGTTTGTGGGTAGTACTGGCTGTACTAGCCGGTCAGTGAACAAATAACTATCTGTATCTAAGTATTTATTTATTTGGTAATCTTACAGCATTACAAATTAGATTACTCTGTTGTGATAACTTATAGAATGGACAACGTACATACGTATAGAAAAAAGATCAAAAAAGTGAGAATAATTAAAATTAAAGTATGCAGGTGATATATTAATAAAAACTTAAAAAAACTGACTTCCAGGCACTAAAATGTAAAAAATAACTAAAGGGGGTTTTCATTTAGAATAGACACCTAATCAGATATTTTCGAAGTCGGTGTACTTTGATTTGTAGCGGCTGGTATAGGATTGTAAGAATAGAGTTTTTAATAGCATATTCGATGAAGCCATTTATTGAAAAATAATTTATTGTTAATTTTTTTAAAAACCGCTTGACCGATTTCGATAAAATTTCAATAGGACCACCTGGGAAGTATACCCTTTGAAACAAAAAAAGAATTTTTCAAATCGGATTTAGGCGTCTTCGAGTAATCGGTGAACATACCTAAAAAAACATCAAAATTTAATTGCGTACTTAATTTATTTACATTATAAGTTTTATAGTGTTATTATATAAAATATCATTTATATTGAGTTAAACAATGCTTTGTTAGTTTAGTATTAGGAAAACCCAGTGATGTTTATACTATGACGTTTGACGCGGCGATGTCGAAGTTAGCCTATACATATAATAAAATTCTGAGTCGAATCTGTAAATTAAATATTTTTGGAAAATCTTACTGAAACAGTCACTATTATCGGTACAGATACCGAATCTATAGTTTTTAGAATTTTTGTCTGTCTGTCTGTCTGGAAACGCATTACGAGAAAACCACTAGACAGATTTTGATGAAATTAGGTATGATAATAGCTGGTTATCCGGGTCAACATATTTTAATGGATTTCATCAGGATTAATTTTTACTGTGGTAAAATATCTCATCTCTGAGAAATCTATACTACTTCTTACTAAATTTAAAAACGTACATAAGTAGGGAGCGGAGCAAGGGTGAGTCTCTAGTCATGCATAAATTCATAACATTTTATCATCATTTGAGAAGCTTTAATATGAAGTTACTTAAATAAGTTCTTAAATCACTATGTAATATAGTTAAATATAAAAAGATGATGAAATAAAAGAATATATTATCAAAACAATCTTTATTTAACGTGACACTATCTATACTTGGTGATGACATTTCTTATTTTCTTCCAAAACTCATCTGCGTGTTGTTTGTCCCACGTCAAATATATCTTTGTTTTCAACAGGAATTTTAATGTTGTTGTTAAATATTTGCTTTCTACTTCGCCTAATCTTATTAGTACTAATGGGTCGTAAGAAGAACCATCTTCGAGAGCCAACCTGTGGTACTCGGCCAGCTGAGTTTCCCATCGACACCATTGAGATTTTACAAAATTGTTACTTATAATTAAAATAATATATCTACTCTCTTTGATACTAGCTAATATCGCCTCAGATATAAAAGAACCTATCTCGAAATCCCTTTCATATATACATAACTTTAAATAAGGCGGAGAGCGTTCTAGGTGAGTGATCATTTCTGAAACAAATTCACTATCTTCACTACAATATGAAATGAAAGCATCGTACTTATAACAAACAGGCTGTTCTAAATTTTTCAAGGAACTTCTCACGAATGTTCTTCCTAGAGCTAGTTTAGCTAAGAAAAACCAATACTTAACATAAATTCGATATTTATATCCAAATGCTAGTAATAATATTAAAATAAATAACGAGACTAGTGAGGGTGCCGTCCAAACTAGCAGCATCACACCAGAATACTTCTCATACAAAAGGCAGTTCATGGTCTTCATGGAGGACATGTAGTCCGCGACCCTCTTATCCTCCCAAATATATGGGCTGTTGCAAAGAAAGTTGGAATGCCTAAAGTACTCATTGAGCGAGTCAGATCCGTTCACTTGTAACCACATATATGTATTGTACATGGAAGAGCAATCGCAGACAAATACATTATTCATTAAATTAATTTCAATAGTGAAGTTCCCTTTATTTTCTAATAAAAAGTTTATGTCCTGAATCATGCTGAGAGAGAAGTGAGAAATTTTATTGTTTGTTAAAAGGAGACTGCGAGGTCGCAGCCCAGACGCTAAGAACATAGGTTTCCACCACGACACTATAAGATTGTCACTTAAGTCTAAAACTTGTAAAAACTGTAAAGGTTTCAACACTTCAGAATTAATGTAATATAATCCGTTGTTTTTGAGTATTAAGTGAGTTATATTTGGCATCATTTCAAACATATTGTCAGTTTCATATAGATGTTTAATACCACAATTCGTCAAAATTAACACTTTTAACATATTGAGTCCCTTGAACATGGCACTTGTTAAATTTTCATTCGCTGTAAGAGGATTATTAGCTAAGTTGAGAATTTCTAAGTGTTTCAAGGGCTCAAATGTCCCATTACCTATGTGAAATAGTGTACCATTTTCCAAATTTAACAGTCTTAATTTATCCAATCCAATAAAAGTGTAATCAAATATAGATTTAATCCTGTTAAAGGCAAGGTTTAGTATCCTCAGCTCTTTACATTGTAGAAATACTCCGCGATCTATTTCATAATACACTGGATTTGTCGCTGTACCTTTATTAGATGACAGATCAAGAAGCATGAGTTGTTGTTGCGATATGTATTTCCAGTGGATACCAGCCAGGTTGTTACCATTCAACAGTAATATCCGAAGCTCTGGGAATTTAAATGGGTTAAATGTATTTTGACCTACACTCCAAGCACTGACAGCTTGCAAATTCAAAATTTTAATATTTGGCATCCTCGGGAAATCATCATCGGCAATTATTTCAAATTGATTGTTAGATAAGATAAGCGTTTCAATCGTTGTGTTAGCAATAATTTCCATTAGTCGTTTTGGTGGTTGTTTGCGAAATCCCATGCTATTTAAATCTAAATGAGCTAAATTTCTGTTATTATGTTTTAGGCTAAGGAGAAAGTCTCCTATAATGGTTGAACTTAAATCATTTTCTCCTATATTCAGTTCTCGTAAATGTGTTAAAGGTAAAAAGCTGTTAGGATGAATATAATCCAGCCGACATAAATTAAGATCCAATTTCTTTAACGGTGAGTCTTTCATGTATTCAAAAGCTCTCTCGGGAATTTTTTCAAATGAATTTTCCGATAAATCTAGTCTCCTCAAAGATGGTAGTACTAAAGGTTTTATTACTGGTGCTATTTTCATTATACTTGTGAATCCATTATTAACTAAAATCAGTTCTTTGAGGTTCTTCAAACCTACGAAGGTACCCTCAAATATTACATGTAGATTAGTATTGTATGATATGGAAAGAGTTTCTAACATCGTAAGGTTGCGAAATAGCCATGGTTGTAGATATTTCAGTTGGTGATTTGCTTCAATCTTTAAAGACTTTAAGAAGTATAATGAATCCAGTTCTCCAACTGTAACTTCTGGCAACACAGTCATCCTCACAATAAGTGCTTCAGTTTTTCTTTTAAGCTGTAACAAATAGTATTATAAAGATTAAAATTTTGTTCATTGTACGTGTATCTACGACGTAGCCTGTGATCATCATAATATAAAATGACTAACTTATCTTAGCTCAACAAAAAAAGGTTTTTTATCATCGTTAAGTTCATTTAGTTTACCCAGTCTTTGAAAAGATTTCTATTAAGTTATTTTTATCACTATTTATCTTAAATTTGCTGATTTTGTTAATATTTACATTTTTTTTATTATGTTAGGAAACAAACCATTATTTTATTAAATACGTATTTGAAAAAGCGACATAGCGTTAGTACGATAAGTTATCAGTTGAAACGTGGAGACAAATATGAATCTTTCCATTTTTACGTAAACTATAATTATGATTGATTGCTCCAAATCCGTGTATGGTGAATTTATTTGGTTTTTAATTATTTTATAAACATTAGAGGGTTAAATTATAAATGTTAATAATAATTATAGTACATTAGATTTATGCCAATATTTAAGTATAAAAGTTACATTCTGCTAATTAATCAAAACTATTAACTTTTCATAAAGACTTATATTATAATTTAATGAAAGCAAAAATGAAGAACAGGGCAGGATATATTGTCCTTCATATAGAAGGTTTTCTGTAATATTGGCCGAAATTAAAATCTTTATTTTGTATTATTTTCCTATGCAATTAAAATAATATAACATATTTACTTCCCGTAAAAACAATAACAACAACAACAAAAACCATCCTGTCATGCATATGATCTATACAAAAATGCAGATGTGAAACATCGAAACTATTTAACAGTTTCGATGTTTCACATCTGCCAGGCGTTCCGCGACGGATTTGTTTTTTTTATATGTGTAAGACTAAGCGATACACGATATGACGTGCATATGCACATACATACACAATTGTTCATATTTTAAAATTAACTAATATGTATATCTATACATATAATAAAATTCTAACAGAGCAGAATCTGTACATTAAATATTTTTTGGAAAATCTTATTGAAATAAACATTATTATCGATACAGAGGCCGAATTTGTAGTTTTTAGAATTTTTGTCTGTCTGTCTGTTACCACATCACGAAAAAACCACTGGAGGGATTTTGATGAAATTTGGTATGGTGATAGTTGGTTATCCGGGTCAACATATAGGATACTTTTTACCGCGGGAAAATATCTCATTTCTGAGAAAAAATACAAAAAATGCTAGTATTATATAATGTACAAATAAGTCTTCTTAATGTATGGAATTCACCATATAAGGTAAACACATTGAGGTGTACGCAGTTGGTGAATATGGCGTGTTTGATTTATAGTGACTGACGCAACTTGTTTGCAGCGAGATAAGTAAGCCTTTATAATTCTAAGATGATGTCGGATTCATGAATGCTAGCCGTTAAATAGTTAAAAATACATTGCTAAAAATAAATTTAAATTGTTACATAAGTATGGAACTAATGTAATATTATAAATGCGAAAGAAATTCTGCCTGTCTGTCTGTTATGTTTTCACGCCTTAACCATTAAACCAATTTTAATGAATTTTGCTATAGAGATGAATATGACTTTGGAGAAAGACATAAGATACTTTTTGTCGCAAAAAATAAACTTGAAAGGGGTAAAATTGGTCTTGAAAGTTTGTATTGGCAACAAATCATTTCTCAAGTTGAGGACATAAAAAATCGTTATAAGCTGTAATTTTGGTAAGAAATAAAGAATTTTTTGGCGTTTTTGATCAATCAAGATAAAATAGGAGATGATTTCAAGTTTTTTTAAAGACAACAGAAAAGTAGGTAACTACCTACTTTTCTGTTTATTCTATAGTAACCGTTAAAACGCACCTAGAGACGCTTTTATACTATTTTATATTACTAATGTAGCTATATTGGCTGCTGCTTCACTTTTTAAATCTGATAACGTCACTTATAAAAGCTTTTGTCTTGAACAACTTATAAGAGCAATATTGACAACTATTGAGATTTCAGGCACAGTTATTCTTTTTGTTGAATGTAATCTGATAAAAAGTACAAAGGTAGTGTACTATTGAAAAATTTTATTATACGTACTGTTTCATACATTTTTTATTATGTACTAAACGAGATATTGTATGAAGCGATATTCTAAGCCTAATTGTAAATACAATTGGACGTTTAAATACAAATAGTTCATATTACAGACTTTCCTGTAGGCTTTTTTAAGACCTACATTTTTGTAGTACATTGTTTTTATATATCTCTTAAGCTTTAGCCAGCCTTAGCCAAGTTTTTTAAGGATGATCCGACAGAATCAGTTATTGTGTTTTCCCGAGGGAATGAAAGATTATCCTGTAATAAAAGTATCCTAAATGTTGACTTGAGTAATAAGCTATCACTACACAAAAATTTCGTATAAACCGGTTCAGTACTACAAAAAACTTAATAACTAGCTATGGTTATGGCATCTTTATCCTGTACACAATACGTTGCAATCATTGTCTAAAAAAATATATTTCATGTATAGATTACGCTAAGTTACTTAAGCTATATGTACTCGTATATTGATACTAAAATAATACGATCTACGCATTATTTGACTTTAAGTTGTTCTAACATAAAACTAGTAGATATTGTATTTGATAATACAAGATTTCTCAGAATCTTTACAAAAACAGTAAACAAATGTGTAGCGGAAAGTAATTACGATAACAAAATCTACATACAATCAAAACAAGGATCTAGAATGTAAGAAATTTCCATTTCTCCTTCAAAACATGTTGCTATTGCAAAGGTGACTAGCTAGTTTTTGATAACGCAAGATCTTCTAAGACTGAGCACGTTGTAAGTAAGATTTGTTTACTTTTAAGTGTAAGAATCATTTGAAAAATTTAAAATAAGTATAATATTTTAAGAGCCTATTTACAATTAATACGTACAATCATACCAAATATATTTCAATTTTGATTATTATTAGGCTCCGTTCGTGTGCTTTTAATCCTTTTTTTTTTTAACGTTGGGAAATGCATTTACGCACGAGGTGTGGGACTCACCGGCAAATCCAGTACTACCCACTAAAACCCAACAAAACCTTCCCCCGTCTTAATGGGGGGTCACAGGATCGCTTACGCATTCAACTACGACGCCCCGACGGCAGGTCTGCCGAAGCAGACCACAACAACCACGGGGTTGCTCCACAGTCCACTCTGCTATCAGAGAAGTACCAGGAGCAACCCGCATGGTACACTGCCCTCCGAAGAGGGCCACCTCCCACCGCCCACCGAAGTGGGCCACCTCCCTGTGCATTTCTTGGCTTCGCGCCCGGTTGGGTTGCCAGGCAGTACTGAGCCCCGCCCCCCACCACGACAAGGTGAACGCACGTTGGGGGAGGGGGGGTGCTTTTAATCCTAATCAAACATAGATTACAATATAGTTTCTTTTTCTAATCTGTCTTGTAGTTCCAGCATGAGCGTATTCAAACAGACGAAATAATAATACTTCAGATTTTAGAAAATTGATTGTTAAAAATAGCAAATACCTTTGGAAACCTCCTGCATTCATAGTTGCCAAAGCAAACTATGACTTTACGGTTTTTAGTGCTCCTACAGCTGCATCCAGATGTTCTATCCTTGCCAATATCTACTGGTAAAGCAGAAGCTGATTTGTCCTCTGGTGGGTATAAAATATTCTTGGAGATCACCTCGTACTCCTCCAAAAGGCTGCATTTAGCGTATTGAGCGTAACATAACAGCAGCCATAGGGTTCGAGCTAACCACATGTTCCAATTATACGGAGTTTAACTGTAACCAATATCATTAACGTACGTATATTTTAGAATTTACATCATACATTGTGATGAGATGAACTGCACGTGCTCTTAATTTTCCGTATTTTTTATCTTATCAGGAATTAACATTTTATTAGTGACAAATATAAAGATTTGGATTTTAAATCTTATTACTTCCTGCGCTATTTTGGTACAAGTTGGATATTGGACTACAATTATAAATGCAAAAAATATATGTATGTGTTTATGTTTGTTACTCTTTCACGCTAAAAATTTTAGATGGATTTGAATAAAGTTTAGTACACAGATGGATTATGATGACCAACAGTAACACATAGGCTACTGTTAGGCAAAGAGGGACACACCCGAGCAAAGTGAGAGGAAATCGCTATTAACGCATGAAAATTGCTAGGGGCTAATAATATGATGCAACTTTAATAAGTATATCGAAGCAGCATTAATTTTCTCTATTACTTTCCATTATTTTATCATGACTTGTACAGTGGGCGTTATATGGGAAGTGTTGGTTCAAATAAAAGTCGTTGCAATCACAGTTGTATTTCAAATTAACAATAATCACTTTGTACATAGTTACACAGCACTTCACTACACAACCATATAGCAAGCACTTCACTTCACTATTACCACGTATAGACAATACGGAACGCAAGACAGTTTCTACTAGTGTTCACTGTGCGACCGACCAAGCGTAACCCAGCCGAGCCCGGTCGAGTGTCACAACGTAGACTCTGTCGAGCCCAAAAAGGTAGCGCTCGCGTTCCGATTAGTTGTGATTATGACTCGTCTCCGACAAGTATGATAATAATATAAATGAATATATATTGTATTTAAACTTTATAAATAAAGTCTAAATACAGTTTGTATTTAGCCCTTTTTAACATCCCACTGCTGGGCACGGGCTTCCCTTCAATACGAGGAGGATTTAGCCATAATCCACTAAGCTGGCCAAGCGCTGGTTGGCGGGTAAGCACTGTGAATTGCAATTACTTCATATGGTTTATTGTGGTTAGTTTTTAACTATATTTTGTTTGTCATCTAAGGTATCTTTAGACCTATATATGAAATATTTTTCTAAATAAAATCGTTCGTTTATTATCGTTCTCTCGTTTAGGTATCCATTGGCAACAATGCGAGTATCACAAAAATTTATGATATGGCGCTATATGATATTGTCAGCATGAAAGCAGATAGATAAGGGTTCTAATAGTTAGTTTTATAAATGCGTTCTTTTTCAGAAAAGATACTTGTATAGAAGAAACATTTAAAAAGCAAAACTTCATCTTCTTCTTCTTCCTGCCCATTTCCCAAGTCACTTGGGGTCGGCGCAGTAAGTCTTCCTCTTCCATTCTCCCCTATTACTCGTCATCTCATCATTCACCCCTTTCTCTTTCATGTCTTGTCTCACACAATCTATCCATCTTTTCTTCGGTCTTCCTCTACCTTTCCATCCATTTACATTCATTTCCATCACTCTTCTCGTCACATGTGTTTCATCCCTCCGCTTCACATGCCCATACCAACTAAGACGATTCCCTTTCAACTTCTCTGTCACTGGTGCTACTTTTAAGCTTCCTCTTATGTACTCATTCCTTATTTTATCCATCCTCGTCACTCCACACATCCACCTTAACATTCTCATCTCAGCAGCATGCAATCTTCTTTCATCAGTCTTCTTTGTAGCCCAGCATTGCGATCCATACATAACGACAGGTCTTATTACGGATTTATAGAGCTTACCCTTCAACTTAAGAGGCATCCGCTTATCGCAAGTTATCGCTGTGACCTGTCGCCATTTCATCCACCCAGAGTTGATCCGATTTAATAATATAATATATAATAAAAAGCAAAACTTCATCTAAATACAAAATTTGATCCAAATTGTTAGAGCCGTTTCCGAGGTACATGAAATATTTTTATATATATATACAAGAATTGCTCATTTAATAATATAATATATAATAAAATTATTATTTTAAAGCTGTTATTGTAATGTTGCATTGGTAACCAAATAAATACATTTCACAATTCACTCGTATTTCGTCAATGTCCCATCGAAAGTTAAAATTTAGATGGTACGATGGATGTTGACAAAAACAATAATTATTTCTGTGTATTATGAAAATGTAAAGAGACATTTGATTGGTGGTAGACTCTGCAGTAAAAAACTTCATTTAAAATTGGCTAAATTATAGATTTAATTCTTTTTCTAATTACTAGAAAATTCTTCTATTACTAGAAAATTCAGTAACATTCAATTTACTTAAGTAGTGGAAGAATTTGTTACTTATCTTTATATAAACTTTAGCTTTTTACAACAACTTATCAATTCGAACGTTATTATGGTAGACAAATACGAATGATGGCTAACACGTGCATTATTTAAATAAAACTTAAATATTTCAATGTAGAATACGTTTCATGTGATTTCGAGGTCGGTGTACCTTTTTAGTAAAAAAGTTATTTAAAATAAAAACATTTATTTATTAGATATGTATATAAAATATAAATGAAAATGGACGTTTTTAATAACCTTTTGGAATTAAAATAAGAATATGTACAAATAAAATATGTTGTATAAATAAAAATAGATTATATAGAAAAAATTGGTACACTTTTCTCTCATAATTCTCAACAAATAACTAAAAAAATATGAATATTGCAAAGGTCCTCAATAATAAATATATATAATTAATAAATTAGTCAGTATATGTATAATAGTAACGACAAATTACAATTATTATTATGCGTACTAATTTATTACCTACCTACACTTTGAAAATCTTAATTCTATTCCTATTTATTTTCAGTTAAAAAAATAATTATCCTCCAAGTCATACTATATCTGTGTACAATCCGTCAAGCTTTTGACAAGTAAGATTATCAAACACTAGCTTGATTCCCAATACAGACTTTCATCCCCATTTTTAACCCATTAAGGCATGATTTCTGAAAATAAGATTAAAAATTTAAGTAATAGTATAAAAAATGTTTTAAAGGACAACAAAATTGAAAGTGCATAATAATTACAAGACTTCCGCGACACCATTAAGACAAAGAGAGATAATAGCATTCCCAAGGAGGGTTGACGTAAGGCAGGCGGCCGGTCGTAAAACTTTTGCCAAATCCTTTCAGCAGTACAGAAGATGTACTGCGCCGACCCCAAGTGATTAGGAAATGGGCAGGGAGAAGAAAAAGAGGACATGATTTCTGGGATAAAAAGTATCATATGTCCTTCCCAGGGTCTCAAACTATCTTCTTATCAAATTTCATCTAAATCGGTTCAGTAGATCCAGAGATTACCCCCTACAACGTCACAAACTCACAAACTTTACCTCTTTATAATATTAATATAGATACACACACGGACAGATGCAAAATTTTTAATATATGGAATTTAAGAAAATATACGAACTATTTTTCTAGTCAATGTTAAAAGATAAAATAAATATTCGTCATACTTTTGAGCAATATGACGTGAGTATAAGTTTACATGCTTACTTACGTGGTTATTCTATTAATGTTATAAATATAAAAATTTGGGAATGTTAAGATGTTTGTGACTCAATAATGCTTTCATCGATTTGGGTGGAACTTGAAACTTAGATACTCTGAAAAATAAGTTTCCTTAGGAAATGAGGGCAGTTATTTGTACGCATTTAGTGTTTTGAATTTTGATACTGTTATTATAATTATTATGAAATTAAAATAAAATAATTTCGACGAATTGAGAGCCTCCTCCTCTTTGGAAGTCGGTTAAAACATATAACAGGATAAAATATAGGTATACATATTCGTCATTGTAGAGGAAAAGCCAGGATTTACTTTTTGATGTTTCGTAATAACATAACTTTTAATATTTCTCATAAACTGTTTCGTGGTAATTGGATATATGATTATTTTTTTATTTGAAGCAACGACCTTCCAACAGAGGCTGTGGTAGGATTCTATCTTAAAACTATATTTATTAGATTAAACATACTTTGTGTTCTGAAGCTCTGAATAAAGTTTTCTGGTAATACGATAAAGTTCAAACATATATTGACAAAAGGAAATTTAATCCATATTAATATTATAAATGTGAAAGTGTGTTTGTTTGTTTGTCCTTCTTCCACGTCGAAACGGTTTGACGGATTGGCGTGATTTTTTGTGTGGAGATAGTTGAAGGGCTGGAGAGTGACATAGGCTACTTTTTATCGCAGGAGATTACGTAATTCCCGAAAACACGTTATAATACAAACCAAAAAAAAATATGATTACAATTATTTGAAACTTGGTATTAATGTTCTTCAAAACAATTAAACAAATACGTGTTTTAGCATTTTTTGGCATTCATCCGATAAGGGGGTAAAATAGGGGATGAAAGTTTGTATGAAAACTACCATTTTAGAGTTTTTTTGTAGTCTTAGCGCAAGTGAAGCCGCTGGTTCTGCTAGTGGATGTTCTACATCTTATTTTCATGTACCGACTGATGCTAGTACCATATCTTAACAAATCTAATTTGAAAAATCACGTCATCATGATATAGGCACTAGTGTATTTACTTTACTTATTAACAGGTAAAAAACGACCTATAAATTAACAAACCTGATATAGTCTAAATCAATCCTTGTATCCTTCTTCGACATAATGCAACAATTGTAATTTCACTAAACATATCATTTTGCACTTTTCTTGCCAAATTTCTATTACAATAAGTTAAAAATAGATACTCAAACTTAAGGTGTTAGATTACGACAGGTGCCTTTTAGCACGTCAGAGCTCGACTGAGATGTAGAGACTCTTTGTTGACGAGCGATAATTTTATTATGATAGCATATATTTGTTTGCAAATTTCAAAGTACTTTTAAAGTACATTTTTATGAATGTTTTGTAATATTTTATCATCAAGGTTGTATTTTACTTAATAGTACTGCGCAAATAAGTGATTTTTTATACTAAAAACTGTAAACAAAGAATTAAATTGAATTAAAATGTGCCAGAATTACTGACGGTTTCTTCGTTTTCTGAAAATTGTAGTTTTCTTTGTAAAAATTATAGTATATTTATTTTGTTATAATTCTAAGATAAAACAGTTTTTCTCCTCTATTTGTCAACGGATTTTTAAGCCTTTTATACATACTAACATTTTAAAGACGTTAGGTAGGAACATGTAAACTTTAACACGTATGCGATAAAAAATGAAGTAAGTGCTTATTAATTTAGCATTCCCAAAAATCTTTGCCTAATTAAATATACAAAATAAAATAAAGTTAGTATTCTTCGAACATCTTGATTACAATTCGTAAATTGAATTAAAAAAATCACGTTTTTACTCGTAGTTCACTAACTAACCACTCAGAAACATTAAGTATTTTTAATTAACGTCTCTCTCGAGAAAGGGCGGTGAAATTGAACCGAAGTTCGGCCGAATTTCTGCCGAATTTTTTATTTTCACCGAATGTTCGGCGGAAGTTCGTATTCGGTTCAAACCGCATTTGGCCCATCACTACAAAAAAAGTAAAAGTAATTTTCATACAAACTTTTATCATCTATTTTACCCCCTTATGGAATGAATTTCGAAAAATGCTAAAACACGCATTTAATTAATTGTATTGAAGAGTATTAATACCAAGTTTCAAGTAATTCTGATCATAAATATTTTTTTGGATTGTAACGTGTTTTCAGCCCTCCAAAACAAACAAACACACTTTCACATTTATAATATTAGTATGGATGGTTTTAAACGTAAAACCGTCCTCGCTTCTTTTATTTTATAATATACTTAGTATCTTTCCACCTCTAGTAACAGATATATGACCTGCAACAAACCAGTTCATAAACAACAGTTGACAAACGTAGGCACGTTGCAAGTGGAGCAGACTCTTCGTGGAATCGAACTGGTGACCAGTTTTGCGCACAGTTAGCAATTGCTATTATAATTTTTGTACTTTACAGATAATAAAATAGGGAAATATTTTTATAGAATGCATTTCAAATTTTAGTTGACTCAAAAAACTTTATTATATAAATATCATTATCATTTATTATAAACTTTATTTAAATAATAATATTTCAAAACAACTATTTCATTAATATTACCCCTACCAGTATTATTATTACCCTTTTCAGAGATCAAACGAAATTTTTTAGAAACAGTTCCACAAAACCCTAAGAGTATTATCATAACAAATTCAATTAAAAAAATCATTAAAATCGCTCCTCAAACAGCGAATATATTACATCATTCATCTACAAAAGAAAAATACATCTTATCAGTCAGTGACTGTAACTATAGCTCTTAAATGTGTTTATGTGTGTAATTGTGTTTGTGTTTAACTAAATTTTTTTTAAAAATATGGAGAACGTTAAAAAATGAAACAAATTGGGCAATCATCATAATAAATATATTTAAACTTAATGTCTATAAAGGTGAAGGTAGAGCCGCTGAGAGGTTCTTGATGAGGTCGTCCATCTGTATGAGGTTGACCCTGGCCTGCCGGCCGACGCGGCCCTCGGGCAGCTCGAGAGGCTCGTGCGCTAAAAGAGCTGCTGACTCCATGAGGATTTTACGCGATTCCTAAAAACAATCAGTCACATATATTAAAAGAGTATATTGTTATGTTATATGTGCGAAAGTTTGTAGATATTCTAGTCTATTTATCTATTAAAATATTAATTATTTATTGTTAATTAATATATGTATGCGTGTACATGTAATAGTATAACATTATCTGTCGTCTCGGGTGAGGTACTCAGCTGTTCGCGGGGTGGTGGGTCATTGGATAGCAAACCGATGCGGAGCGAAGACAGTGTGTACATGGCGAGCCGATATACGAGTACTCTCGTATACTTATTTGAATATTCCTATAATCTAATTACTAATAATAAGTATTATTAAGTAAATTATTAAGTTTATATTACAGATATGATTGGGCTTTTGTTGCTTAAATTGCATGCAAATTGATAGACTATATCCATAAGTATGCTTCCGCCAGGGCCTTGTTGTAACTAGTAAGAGAAAGAAAACTACTTAAATTTGTTTAATACGTTGATGCACTGACACCATATTTTTTAAATTTTGTATGTAATCTATATTATCAAAATTCTAATTAAACTTCTTATCTAGACGTGTGCATTGAAAATGAAAAATCAAGAGCGTTCATTCATTATTCTGTTTTCTAACAAAAACTACGCAATGGATCAATTTTTTTTTCAGCTATAACCACATATAGGTATCGTAGCAAATATTATTATTTTTTGTTTCCAATAGGAAACAAAATTTAAGTGCAAAAATTTAACAATGCAAAGCGACGGCGAGTCACTACTCTTTTATATTTTTGTTTACATACATAAATTGTTAAATAACGTCATATTTTTATTATGTTTCACACGCTAAATTCATGAAATATGTTGTTCGTATTTACGTTATATTAGGGGAGCCCACGATGCTAAATGGGGATTTACTCGAGCGTCGTAGAGACCTATTGGGATGCAAAGCTTAGATGATAAGAAGAAAAAAATGTTATATGATATATACCTTTACATCGGTGGGGGAAGCGGCTATAGATTTTTAAATATGTAAAAAAAAACTATTGCATAGACATCCTCGAGCGCGTCAGATATTGATAGCATCAATGCCCTACGTATTTTTAATAATGTACGTATGTTAATCTGATCGTTTGCATGATGCGGGTGGTTGTATTTAAGGGTTGAAAATGAAAAAAAAAAAAATTTAATCGAGCGCGTCAGATTTTCTAAGGGAGTGTTAAGTGCACCAAAAAAAAGCTCTCATTCACTAATCTGACGATTTCGATGGGACGCAAACTCGCGGCCATTTTCATAATGTGCAAAAAAAAATCGCCATTTTGAAATACTCAAGCGCGTCAGATTAAGATATATATGGTTCATCTTTATGTTCTAAACGTACTGTCTCATAATCTGACGATTTTCTAGAGGGATTCGCCTGATCTGACAAAAAAAAAATTAGAAAAACGGTTCACCTTAAAGGCCATACCTGCAACTTCCCGCTAATTCCATTCCTGTGCGCTTAAAATTGTACTTATGACATTTTTGAGCTCAAAATATAATTTATGTGATATTTTGAGCTCGCTGAGTTCAAAGAAATAATATTTCTATGCATTTGAGCTCTCCCAGCTCGAAAGTCTGATAGAAGTTTCATAGAACACTATTTTTGGAATTTCAAACCGCAATAACTTTTGAATAGATCAAGCAATTTTCACACGGTTGACGCCATTCGATGCAGTTTTATCATCCTCATAAGTTATTTTCAGGTTTTAATTGATCGAACCAAAAATTTCGGAGTAATCCCGAAAAAACACTTTTTTCGGTTTTCTTTCGTTCACGATATCTCTCGAACGAATCAACCGATTTTGACCGGATTAGCGACGATCGGCGTGGTTTTTCTAGATTAAGAGCGGATTAGTTTTTGAAGTTAATTGAAAAAGCCGGTTAAAAGTTATTCCAAAAAAACCACTTTCAAAAAAAAAATCTTATTTTTTTTGAGATTTTTCAAAATTTCTCAAAATCTATCGGTCCGAATCGGTTCAAATTCACAGGAAATCTAATTTTGAGGGAAATCTTTAGAACGCCGTTTAGTAGATTCCGATCGGTTTAGTCGTTGAAAAGATATAAGCGAGTCACACATACACACACCCATACATACATACAGACTTAGTGACAACATCATACTTCACACAAATAATATTAAAATAGCAAAAAAAGCCAAAACGTTGGAAACACGTTGTAAACAATATGCCACGAACGAGTTTTTATGATCAGCTGTGATGGCGTCATGGCGGCAGAAACCAGAGTGGGGACGGAGTGAGAGAGTAATAGATAGAGAAAGAGTGAGAGAGGAATAGACACACGGAGAAGAAAATGTAGGCATCACGCAGCTGTACGCATTTAACTTTATCGACGAATTTTTGTTATTTCGCCTTGCGGAAATCGTCAGATTATATATTTTTCATTATTCTTGAATTATTTCCTTCAAAATAAAAAAAAAATTAGCTACGCTCGAGAATGTCGAGATGACGTTTTTTTTTTACAACTTTGTTGCCCTCTCCTTTTTTTACGTCACTCTCAAATTGTCAGATTAGTGGAATATACACTTTTTAGGATGTAATTAACTCACCCTACCTTAATCTGACGCGCTCGAGAATTTCTGATGGTCAATTTTTTTTTACTAATCTGATCCTGTATCCTTCACGGGCGGCCTTATATATGGGCCTCATGTTTTGTGGAGGTACTTAACCGGGTACAAGGTATCCCCCTGTATATTAATCTGCCGCGCTCGAGTAACTACAGAAAATCCCCTCTTCGGCTCCCCTACTATTATGAATTACTTCCGCAAATAGTACATATATTGGAAAAAATGTTAAGACGAGTGCATCCGCCATCCACATTTGCTCGAAGTTGAAGACGTTTTGGTTACTCATACCAATTAGATCGAAAGGGAAGGTTGCTTCTTTACAACTGATGGTTCTATGAGAGCAGTAGGTTTAAATGTGTAAAGAGGCTTTCTTTTAAGGTTAAAACTGTAAAAGTGTGTTTGCAAACGGTTCAATGATATTTGCATTGAGATAAATTATAAGACACAGAGTACATACAGTATGTATATTCTACTTCCCGCCACAGATAAATGACACAGGACCTAGACACTTTCTTAGAATTACACGAATAATTGACTTTTTAAACAAAACATTTTTTCGTGGTTATATTTTATTTTTTTTCTACCTGACGTTTCAAATTATTTACAGCAAACATGATCACGGCAGAGACTAAGGTTTTTGACGTCTCAATCTTAGAATTGCTGTCAAAATATTCCCTTATCTCTAAATATTATTATGTATACATATTTATTTACCGTAACATATCCCAGCATGACCACAGGTCCATCAGTAAGAGATTTTCTGCGTCCCGTCTCCGCTACTGCAGCGTGCAGTTCAAAGAGCAGTGACCCACGAAGGCGAGTCTCACCTGAAAATTAGATCATAAATAGGAGTTAAATTAAAGAAAATATTTTAACTTCTAAGTTTTTCAGAACAGTAAAGTTCATCAAAACTTTACGATATATATCCGTGATTCTTTTAATTCTTTATATGTTGCAAAATTACAATTACTCTTGTTGATATTAAACAGAAAATATTTTGTATATTAAACATATTGATAGACGAAAGCTGAAACATTGAGACCTCAAAATGAAATGTGTAAATTGTAAAACATAAAAATAAATAGTATGTACCAGGTGCCAAAATTTCCAACAAATCGGCTATTTTCCGACACAACTGAGTCTTTAATAAGAGTCTGTCATCAGTCACCATCGCTAAGCCGAGTTGGTCCTGACCTATCATCTGCGCTAGGGCCAGGCTTACGTCGATCATGTAATAGTGTGAAGGGTGCAGGTAGCTGCTGCAGTGGCTTACGAACCTGTAAGTGAGATCCACTTATAAGAAATAGCTGACCATTTTTTTTGTAAAATTTCACTTCTAACGGCGGAATATTTTAAAATTATTTTAAAGTGATTTTGAAGATTTCCTTGGCCTTATTGGCACGCCAACTCTAAATTAATAACTTATAGTTTATTTTTATAGATTTTTTTATATAGAACCCCAATAAAAAGTTGCTCTCGGGTTTCATTAAAGTACTACGAAAATAAAATTTATTTTAAATACCCTTTGTCTATACATATATTAAAATAGTAACTAAGCCGAATCTGTACACTAAATATTTTTTGGCAAATCTTATTGGAATAAACATTATTATCGATACAGAGGCCGAATCTATAGTATTTTTACCGCGAGAAAATGTCTCATTTCTGAGAAAAAATACAAAAACTCCAGAACATAGGGTATACTAATATGTAAAACCTAAGAATTTGGTTTTTGGTGATCTGAATGCGGGCGGAGCTGCGGGCAATGCTAGTTAATAAATATAACACTAATAAAAACGTAACATAAATGCAATGCATATGAATTAATTGCCTTGCCAACCTTTCACATGATTCAGGATTACCCTTAGGCATTATACTCAATTCTTTCCCAATATCTTGAAGAAGTTGCTGTATGATGGCATCAGATACTTCGTCCTTGCAATTGTTGCATTTCCAGTATTTGTTGTCTAAACCTCTGGTTTTTGGATCCGGAGATTTGGTTTTATGAAGAATAGGCACGATAAATGTATCTGGTAAGAGGTAGCCTCTGCAATCTCTGAAAAAGTTATTATCTCATCTCTTACTCAGAAATATTATTTTTAAGTTGCTTTACAAATCTTGTGAGTTTAATTTGATTTAATAAGCTTAAAAATAATGTTTTCTTCATTATAATACTAGTAAGGAAGAATAAAAAGGTACAAGTAAGATACTTTAGAGGGATTTTCTACATAATGAATAAGTTCCATTTTAAAGGTTTCTAGTTCTCAACGAGTATATACGTAAACCCACAAATGAAATTGAATACATGAATGTACGCTAGAACTTACTTCTTCTTACACTTAACAGCGCTAAACATAGTCCCAAATTCAGTGACGTCTGAACATCTCTCGCAAGAGCATTCGAAGAACTTGGAGTCTGAGAGATGGTGGCGCCTAGCTTCTGTACCCCAGAGGGGGTCCGTGTAGCATACTGATATATGTGCGCCTGCGGATATGTTCACACCTGCGGAGAGAATCTGCAATATTGCTCTATTTTACTAAATATATATAATTAACAGTCCATTCGGTAAAGAAATAATAATAGTAAGAACGAAGATTGTTTAATTATTATATTTAATAATAAAAATATTTCACAGATTTCAAGTGAAATATTATGAAAGCAATACGTATAAATATGCTACCTATATTTAGTTGGTTCTCAAACACCGTCTTTTGTATTGTCCGTTCTTGATTTTTTGTTAACCTGAACTCAATGAACTTTTTATATAAATCTTTAACAGCAAGTTGCCTTAAAGCTTTTGCCCTATTAGTCTACAGATTTATTAAATGTACATATAAGGACTAATATAAAAATAAATTTACTATTCTTTTCACCAAATTATATCCAAATACTTACAATTTGTCCGTCAGATGTAAAACTCTTATTGCAGTTAGCGCGACAGTTGTGCTCAACCATTGATATTCTGTCAAAAATTGCTACATACTCTGGCTCCAGGAGTGGCACTTCGTGTCCATTAATCTGTCAATCAATTGGAAAATTACGAAAATCATAAAATACCAACTAAAACCTTTAGATAATATAATAATTACTGTTATATAAAATTTGTATATTATTACATTCAATATTTAGTTTATAGGACTGTTAGAAAAAAAACACTTACAAATTTATAAAAGAAGGAAAAACGGAAGAACGCAAGGAAAAATGTTGTATTGGTTTATGTTTATGTATGAATTGGAAGAACATCAAGTAGGTACTACCTGAACTATTCCACAGCACTTCATAATTTCGGCTTCACTGAAGGTAGTATCTAGTTTAAAGAACTTCCAAATAAACTGTGCTATCATTTTCTTATCGTTTTCCCACTTATCTGTACCCCTACGATCTTGGTCGTGAGATTCTAACTTCTGCAGCTTGGTCCACAGCTTGTCATTAAAATCTCGTTGGTAAAGACAACGGAGAACAGTTATACATTGGTAATTTGGGTGGGGCACTCCGTAAGTTGATATCGATACCTAAAATAATTAAAAGTGACTCAAAAAAACTCAAAATCTCAAACAAATTCTCAAGCAAGCAATTGCGTAGATATTTGACTTTTTTTATAATCAAGTGATTGCCAAAAATTAATAGAATGTTTCAATGATCAACTGATCAACTGATACGCAATAGTAAAAAAGAAAGAAGTTTTATTTTGGTACATGAATTGTGCATTCGAGATATAAGCCAAATGTACCTTTTCACCTCGTTGCTGAGTATAGTGGCATTCCGGCACATGTACTGCATCCTCAGAGCAAGACTCGGAACAGAATGGCCAGCCACATTTTACACAAGATACAGTCTTATTTTCTTCTAGAAGTTTATAACAGCCGAGACACACCGGCGGAGTTACCTGTAATAAAAAAATGTCTGAAATGTACGCTAGTTTTATCTGTTGATGAATTAAGCGAAGTAAAAAAAGTTTTAAAATACTGTTTATCAAGTCTCTGCATAGATTTAGGTATCCATGCAAATGAGTCAGAGACTTTGATGCAGTTCAGTATCTGAGTATCTGATTCATTTGGATGGACACTTTTTACATTCGATTGCTACGGCAGATAGAAATCGGTTTAGCTTACTTGAGCTGGACCAGTTATTAAAGGAGCTTCTTTCATGATAACATCCCCAGCTTTTATATTTCTCGTGGTTTCCAAATATCTCCCAAACTTGCTATCTTCCTTGATCTTGGCTGGAACACAATAGTGTCTGTGCTGCTTCCAATGCTGCTTTTGATGTTCTCTCGAACAGTAGTGGACTTCTTGGCAGCTCGAGCACTTGTGCTCAGTAGGTATGGAGCAAACGATGCACGGTTCTTGTATAGCCATATTTACTGAAAAAGTATAACATATATTTTAGTGGTTACACTATCAATTAAAATAATTTATTTGGTTTTATATAATTTACTAGCATTTCCCGCGGCTCCGCCCGCATTCAGTTGACCAAAAACCAAATTCTTAGGTTTTACATATTAGTATACTCTTACATTGCAGTTTTTATATTTTTTTCTCAGAAATGAGATATTTTCTCGCGGTAAAAAGTATCCTATATGTTGACCCGGATAACCAGCTATCACCATACCAAATTTCATCAAAATCCCTCCAGTGGTTTTTCTGTGATGCGGTAAAAGACAGACAGACAAAAAATCTAAAAACTATTTCGGCCTCTGTATCGATAATAATGTTTATTTCAATAAGATTTTCCAAAAAAATATTTAATGTACAGATTCTGCTTAGTTACAATTTTAGTATATGTATAGATTGTGAGCATCGTATATTCAATAACATAAGTACATATAATATTAATATAGGTCAAGTCAAAATATAGGATTTTTTAGTTATACTTTTGCATATTTCTATTATAATAATAATCTTGACAAGGGACTTATGAAGTTATATATATATATATATATATATATATATATATATATATATATATATATATATGTGTGTACTTAGTGAAGATAATAATATGTCAACATATATAAAATTGTTAAAAAATCAATCGCTTATTATTAAATAATCAAAATAGGTTAAGTTTCAGATATTTGTTAATTCATCTCACCTCAGACTAATACAATATTATACCGCAATAACATTAATAAAAAAACACTTTAAATAATAAATGAGTATTTTATTCACATGAAAACTACAATTTCAATTTATATACTTATAGAACGAAGATGGCAAGAAAGCTCTACACTGCTGCGCTCGCGCACGTTGCCGGTCGCGGTGCGGTAAAAATAAAACTGCCGGCCGACTGAAACATGAAGCGACGTTTACAAATATTTCATACTATCATTTACCAGTGACATTGTCTGTGTTCCTAGAAATATTAAAAATTAGTGACACGCTGCCACTAATATTTTTCAAAACAAGAATATACAGCGAAAATTTCCTACTAATATTATAAATGCGGAAGTTGGTGAGGACGTATGGATGATGATAGATATGGTCTAGAATCTAGATTTATAGATGTATGGGTGTTTGTTACTGTTTCACGCAAAAAATTTTGAATGGATTTTAATGAAACTTTACTATAATAAAGCTTATACGTCTGAATAACTCATAAGCTATAGGAAAATGTACGGTTCCCATGGGACAGATTTTTTTTTGTTTTTCTAGAGGCGAACCTGAGCGAGGCAAGTGTGAGCCGCTAGTGTTATATAAATATTAAATACCAGTGACCCTAATATCAGGATGTCTTTTCGGGCAAGGCGTGATTTATTTTCATTCTTCTTTATTTCCTAAACTATATTAAATGAGTACTTTAAATGGCGAATTTTTTCTGTATATTATAATACTTGTGTCGATGAAGCAATTTATTTCAAATATTATAATAAATATATTATATATTTTATTATATGGGGAACTGTATTTTTTCCAGGATAATAAGTAGCCTATATGCTATTCCAGACTATGATCTATATCTGTGCCAAATTTTATCTAAATCCGTTCAGCCGTTCTGGCGTGATTGGATAACAAACATCAAAACATCTAAACTTTCACATTTATACTATTAGTAAGATTCAGGTGAAAACTTATTCTCCTTAAAATGATAAAATTACAGTCAAAAAAGACAGTCCTGAACATAATCATTTTATATGTTTTTAATGTGTTTTGAACTTATTGTATGTTTTCAATTTAATACATAGTACGCACTTCAATTTGCTAGAAAGAGTTCTCACTACTGTTCCATAAATTGTACAGTATTATCGCCAACGTCCATACCACGTTGAATACACCGGTTCTCGTCCGATCACCGAAGTTAAGCAACATCGGGCGCGGTTAGTACTTGGATGGGTGACCGCCTGGGAACACCGCGTGACGTTGGCTTTTTGTTTTTTTTTTTATTATTTATATCCTTTCCATTAAAACTAAGTAGTATCTTTACAAGGATCTTTTGACGTATTCATAGTACTCTCACGGGAGAGTGCATCAGCAGCATCTATAGGAAATCCAAAAATTTACAGATGAAACATCTAAAAACATAAATAAAAAGTTTAAGTATTGATTTCGGCATTTTTCTCTTTTAATTTATATTAATTTCATATGTTTATTTATGTTTTAAAATCACTTTTGAATGCTTCAGGAACGCAACATTAATGACTACGCACAATTTTTCAAAACGTAGATTAATTACAATTTTTTTCAGAAAAATTTTTTCAGAAAAAAAAGCTCTACTTTTTGTTACCGTAACTTCAGCAATTAAACGTAACATTAAACTTTAGAATATAATAAAAATTTTTTTTTAGACACATACACATGGTAAGCTACGAGGCTTGTGTTATGGATACCAGATAGTTGATACACTACACATATAAACTTTAAATACATACATATTATAAATAAATATATAAACACCCATGACTGGAGTACAAACATTCATGCTCATCACACAAATGAATGCCCTCAGCGGGACTCGAACCCGCGACCGCCGGCACAGCAAGTAGGGTCACTATAAACTGAGCAAAACGTGTCGTCAAATAATAGAAGAAACTACGAGCACTACTCGCTCGGATACTAGTGTGGAAATTAGCAGCGAAATAGATTAAAAGTTCGGCCCCTTGTAGAGCTGTTGGTTTCAAAGATAATAAAAAACAAGAAACAAAAAGCCAACGTCACGCGGTGTTCCCAGGCGGTCACCCATCCAAGTACTAATCGCGCCCGATGTTGCTTAACTTCAGTGATCGGACGAGAACCGGTGTATTCAACGTGGTATGGACGTTGGCGATAATACTGTACAATTTATGGAACAGTAGGAGAACTCTTTCTAGCAAATTGAATAAATTGAGAACATACAATAAGTTCAAAACACTTTAAAAACAAATAAAATGATGATGTTCAGGACTGTCTTATTTTTTTAAAATTTATATGAAACATGTAACTACCGACTTACCCTCGCTTTGCTCGGGATCGTACCTAGCTTGCTTCCCCATACAAACTTTCATCTCCATTTTCACCCTTAAGGTATGATTTCCGGGATAAAAACTATCCTATGTCCTTCCTAGGGTCTCAAACTATCTTCTTAGCAAAATTCGTCTCAATTGTGTCAGTAGTTTTGGAGCTTATTCGGTACAAACAATCAATAAAATATTTCCACTTTAATAAATACATATATTAGTAAGCCTACCTTACCATAGAGATCGTATATATTAAGAAATTTTTATATTAAGCCGTGATAGCAAACTTATTAAGCCAAGGATTAAAAAGGTTAACAATTAGATTTTAGCTTATTTCCATTATCTATAACTCTATTTGGCACAGTAATATTTTTTTTTAAACCATGTATTATCGAAGGAAATAATTTAATTACTTGCGAGTATTTTTGCTTAAGTTAGCAATTCAATGGATTTTTACCACCTGTTTTTTGATGTTCTCGTTCTAAAAACGGTGTAACTTTGTACTGTGAAGAAACAATTACCTACCGCTGTGACTCTAACAGGGGCGGACCGTGAATTTGGGGGGGGCCTGTGTTAGCCAACACCACTTCGTGGCGTCTCAAAATGACAATTTAATTAATTAGACTTAAACTAATTTCATTTTGTCTTTTAGAAATCTATACAGATTTTGCTTGATATTCGCGATAAGGATTTTCGAAAACAAAATGGAAGTTTAATGAAACTCATGGAATATAAATATTTTTTTTTAATAAATTACGTACCTAAGTTTTACAAAAATGTAATTAAATAACATTTTTACAATTTTCGAAAACATTTATTAATTAGTAATAAACATACAGAAATATAGGTCTAGATTATTTATATTAAGTTTTTTTTAATTTTGCAGTATTTTAAGCACCAAAATAAATTATCTGTTTATTTGAACTGTACTATAATGATCGGCAGACATCTTGATAAACGATTTTGAATGCTTAGAAAATGATTTGTCTTTTTGCAGTTTGAAGGAAGGCGCAAGACAAATTCGTACCATAGTAAATATAGTAGGTATATTAGACCTCTAGTAAGTCAGACAGACAGAGTTCCGTGTGCATTTTCTTAGCACTTTTTATATATACTCTTTTTTTATATAAAACTATATATTTTATTATAATAAGGCACTTTTGGCCTAGAATTGACAAATGGGATCATTAAAATCAATAAAACAACTTACAACATGTACGGATATTAAGTATCTAAAGTCGTTTACAAAAGTGATTGCAACCTGTGTAAATGTGATTTATAGCAAGCTACAGATAATTAGGCTACTATAGATAATAAATATGTACATACATATCCCAGGCCCCCAGCCTCATGAGGGCCCCGACAACATAACATTCTCGCTTACTTGGAAAAGAGAAAAAAAGCTCAATATTATTAGTTTTTATTACACTGCACTGGACTGTATATAATACACTGCATATTGCATAATATTATGTTCCTTAGTAAACTTGTTCCCTTTATAGTTCACTTTTTTACACCATTTTTTATATTTAATTTTTTTTGTATTTTAATTAATTTTTTAATTTTTAACTATCTAAAAGGACCCTAATTTGTGTACCCAGGGTGCCCCGCATGGCTTAAGTCGCCTCTGTATATAGTCATATCTAGACTAAATAGAGTTCGCCGAGTGGTCGAACTTTGACCATGATCATTATAGATTTTTTATTTATAAAACTAATATAATAGTATAGTATATAAATATTATAGTATTGAAGAATAATTTATTAATTTTAGCTATTAAAAATAAATACATATGTATATAAACTTTAAAATACAATAAAAAATATTTTTTTTACATGAAAACAATTTGATTAATTAATGAAAGCAAAATAGCATTACTTACAAATATTTTAAATTTGAAAACTACTTTATCTACTTGTTTTTTATTAGGCTATTTGTTTGTTTTGTTTTCATATATTAGAATATCTATAAAATATTCGTGAGAGAAATGAAAGTTAATTGATAGTAATTAATAAAGCAATGTCTTTTAGAAGGAATGAATAAATATATTATGACTGCAAAATAGATATACAGTTTTTAATAATATATACATCTTAAAGAAAGGTTACTATAAAAATACTTTGCTTATTAGTCACAAACATAAGTGTTACCAAAACTAAAATAATAAAAAATAATATTTATTAATTAATTATAATATTAACAATTTATTAATAATAAATAAAATGGATTCGAAAATAAAAATTGTATTATAGTTTTAATAATACATTGTAACAGTACAATTAAAAATGTTTATACGAGGTGTTTAAAAAAAAAATTCTTGAACTAACCAGTAATAAGTAATAAATAATTGTTAAAATAAACACATAGTATAATATTGTTACAACATTTATAAATTTATCATAATATAATAAGAATTGTTAAAATTTTTATATTAAAATACAAGAAAATCATCTAAAAATAACCTTTACAATTCATCTAAATACATTAGATAATTATTATATTAATATTTTGTACTCTTCAAAAACGGTACAATGAGGAATAAAATTTTTAAAACTATTTCATCCGTGTTAAGTAAATCAGGAGATTTTGCCAATGATTTGTTCCCAGGTCTTGATCTTCTTGAGCGCGTCGCGAGCGGCGGAAGCCATCAAACCTTCGGGCGAATGTTTCGGTTCAAATCCCAGTATCAATGCGGATTCCGTTAGGTAGCTCACGATCTAGAATTTGAATTGAAATTATAATTTGTTATTATTTTGTTGACATGATATAATTTTTTCAAACAAACGTTTATAAAAATATCTGTATAATGCTATAATATAATAATACTTGAATTATGTTAGCGGAATTAGTTATAGTGTTATTACGTAATAGTTCTTAGAGAATAGCAAACTAAGGAATAGTGGTCCCTTTTAACGAGGAAGCTTTTATTTTTAATGTGAAACATCTATTGGCACGTTGGCAGTACAACCGACTCTTGGTGTGACGGCATTGCTCCATTGTAAACACGCTCCATTGTAAAACAGTCCGTATTAAAATACTTATAAATTTTCTTTCTATTTATGAATAAAATTATATAGGTATATTCTGCAATTATTATCATTATAATTAAAATAAATTGATTTTATTAATTAAACTCACTTTTTTCTTTATTTTACTCCATATTTCGTTATAGGTTTTTATTAACTACGAATTCTAATATTAACATAGATGTTTCACATCGGAGCTGCCGGGCCGGTGATGACCAACCTTTTTTTCATTCGCGTTTAATTTTTTCTACATATTTAAGACACAAGTTTGTAATTTTTCGCGTTAAAAAAATAGATAGGTAGGTACCGTAAAATAGTTACCTCTTTTAAGCGATTACGTAGATTTTCTTTAGTGATAGCTTTCCTTTCAAAATCCCTGGTGGTGAGCACCATAAGTGGAGCGTGGAGCTCGTATAGAGTTATTCCTGTATAAAGGAAAATGTCTAATTAAAACTTCAGCAGTTGTTCGCCCAGCAGTGGGACGTTAAAAAGGGCTGAATACAAAGAATAAAATTGCTAACGCTTTTTTATCTCCCTCTATATAATTCTTAAGTCTGAGCTTAAGCGAGCCTGTAAGTGGGATATACTATGAAATACTTTTTTTTAATATTCTGTTTTTTACTTGTAAGTTAAGTTGGCTTGCCCAATCAATAAATACATAAACAAATTACTCGATTGACATGTGTTCTACAAAACGAAGCACTAACTATAAGTATATATATATATATATATATATATATATATATATATATATATGTAGGATCCGGGGATGCTAATAAAAGCGTTTATAAGACTATTTACTATTTATTCATTTTAAATATTACAAAAACAATGTTCACGCGTATCGTCGTGTCGTCATTATGACACAACATTTTTATTTCCTTTTATTCATCTATTTCATTCCATTCCATTCTTAAAATTCTAACATACGTCTCCTTTTATTCTTAAAATATCATTTCATGCATACTCATCTTGCAGATCCTACATATATATATATATTGCAGATCCTACATATATATATATATATATATATATATATATATATATATATATATATATATATATATATATAACTGCCTCGGTGGTGTAGTGGCTAGCATGTACGGCTGCACACCCGGAGGTCCTGGGTTCGAGTCCCGGGTCGGGCCAAGTTTAGTTATTGAGTCTTCCTGTATAGTAAGTCTCAGTAACAGCCCGGAGTTGGGAAGTGGAAGTTGGCGGTGTTTCACCCCCGTGCCTCGGAGAGCACGTAAAGCCGTCGGTCCTGCGCCTTAACTCTCACCGGTCGTGTCGAGTGGTCGTCCCACCGGAGTATGAGAGTGATAGGAATAGAGAGTGCACTTGTGTCTGCGCGTACACTTGTGCACTATAATATCTCCTGCGCAGTTGGCTAATCTCATTGAGATTGGCCGCCGTGGCCGGAATCGGCTAGGAGAACATCATATATATATATATATATATATATATATATATATATATATAACCATTGATTACATTATATTTATTAACTAATTTTTACCTCGCAATCTAGAATATCCTGGCTCAATAATGTCAAACACCTTCATCAAATCCCTGCAGATTTCCACTTTTCTTTGCAACAGTGCTTCAGACATTTGATGTATCATGTAATCTGTAACTTTTCCATACAACTGGCTCAGGGAGTGTTTCGCGGAAAGACACAAGTAGTGGCTGTCGTGAAGGACGTTTCTGTATTTAGATAAGAATGTTTCGAAGCCAGCGACGTCGTTTGCATCTATTTGGTCAAAGTCGTCCGTTAATCTGGAAAAAATTAACATATAACGTAATAGTATAAAACAAAGTCGCTTTCTCTGTCCCTATATCCCTATGTATGCTTAAATCTTTAAAACTACGCTAAGGATTTTGATGCGGTTTTTTTAATAGATAGAGTGATTCAAGAGGAAGGTTTTAGTATATAATTTGTTAAGTTTTTGTCTACATTGGCTAAAATATAACGATATTTGTTGGAGGTGTCGGAAAAAATAAGACGTCTGGGAGCTTTCAACGAAAACGCTGCCTAAACCCTTTGAGATATAACAAAATAATGTATGGTGGAATTGTGTATCTTATATAGGTCTACAGAAAAGTCCGATGGCATATGTCTATCTCTTAAGGATAACATACTATATCCATTTTAAATGAAAAATATTAGTCGCTAGTAAGGTAATAAATAAATCCTTATATTATTGTACAGTACGTGTAGCTTACACATCTTTAGATTTACTATAAAAATAACCCTCCTTTGTGCTTAGCTGTAGTCGGGTAATAAGTAACTTAACCTCACCTCACTCAGGTCACACGTCTGTACGTGTCAAAAAGTAGTTTAGATGTAATGGGTTACTTCAAGTCATAATATATTTATACACTAATCTTCTTCCAAATCTGTTCAGTCGTTTTAAAATGGAGGAGTAACAAACTTATAAAGTTGCGTATTCATAATAGTTACCCCACAGAAAGCCATCTTAATCGTCAGATAAATGTCAAAAGTTAAAATTTGGAATATTGTAAATCAAAACTCTTATTAAATTAATTTTATATCTTATTCTGATCGACATAAACATATCACCTCTTTAGTAGCACTTGTACTGCAGTAGCTGGCATCTCATAGGTGCAGTGCCCGCAACGCCACGGCGCGGCTGGGCTTAGCGGCGCGGTAGGGAGCACTCGCGCGGTGCACTTCGGACAACGGAATGCGCTTGCATATGTCCCCAACTCTGTGGGATCAGAACACCGCTTGCATGCGCATTCGAAGAACTTGCTCAGTTTCAGATGCTCACGACGTTTGAGAGTACCCTGAAAGGAAAAAAGAATATGATCTATACATATAATAAAATTGTGAGTCGAGTCCGCACATTAAATGTTTTTGGTAAATCTTACTGAAATAGTCATTATTATACAGAGGCAGAATCTATAGTTTTCAGAATTTTTGTCTGTCTTTCTGTCTGTCTGTCCGTCTGGGAACGCATCACGAGAAAACCACTGGACCGATTTTGGTGAACTTTAGTATGATGATAGCTGATTATCCGGGTCAGCTTAAAGGATACTTTTTACTGCAGGAAAATATCTCATCTCTGAGAAATCTGTACTAAACGTTAAAACTTAAACTTAGAGACGAACCCGAGCGAAGCGAGGGTGAGTCACTAGTATTTTATATAAGACAAAATATATACAAATATGAAAGGGGCACAAGATAAGATATAGGTAAAATTACGAGAATAATATCCCACATTTAATAATAAAACTTGTCATTTTGGCAAACAGTAAATATTATTAATATAATATTTAATAGTGATATAGTGCCTTTGAGTGAATGAAAAGCCATTAAATAAAGAACTGAACTGAGTAAATGAAAATTTATTAATATCACAAGACATAAAAATTGAAAAGCACGTCACATATCTTTATCAAGAAAGAAAAAAAAACCTAAAAATCTATAACCATCAAATTTTCCATTATGATGAACATCATAGTTCATTAACATCATTTAACATGTAACTTGTAGCGCCTCAACATTCTTAGCTATGAATTGTATCAAACAATGCAATTATTGTTATATCGTGTTTTTGCGTTACTGGGAATGACTACAACGACTATTCTTTCTCTACTGCAGATAGAACTGCTTATACAACAGTGCGAAGACGATGATGAGTCATCCTACGAATATTATAAATGTGAAAGTTTGTGAGGATGGGTGGATGGATGTTTGTTACTCTTTCGTGCCAGAACGGCTGAACAGATCGGGATAAAATTTGACGTAGAAATAGATTATCGTCTGGAATAGCACATAGGTTACTTTTTATCCCGGAAAAGTGCACTTTTCCCATGGGATAGATTTATTTTTGTCTGGGGACGAACCCAAAGTGAAGCGAGGATGAGTCGTTCTTTAAAAATAACTTACAGAAAATATTTTACTTGGTAAGTTCGTATCAGTATTGCACTTATTGTGCTCTCTAACTATTTAACACGTCATTTGTTTTACCTACCTGTAAGGTATAGGCGTAGCAAAGCGATATAATGTCTCCGGTTTTGTGTGGTATTGAAGCTCGGACTGTGAGCGGTCGTCCGGGCCGCCGCTCTGCGTCCGTGTGCGTGGTGGAGGGCGTGCAGTCGTGGGCCAGGAGAAACGCCGCATCGTATAGTGCGCGGGCGTTTGCACCACTACCACCTACTTCGAATGCATTTACCTGAGAATATTAGAAAGTATTCTATTATTAGATACTAGTTTTATTAGGGCACCACTCGCGTGGGAGGTATGTTGATAAAAAATAGCGAGTGTTAATCCAGTATATAAATTACGTCTCTAATTCGTCCATGATTACTTCATTTAAATCTGTTGAGCAATGGCAAAATTTGAATTTTAATTTTATCTGTATTGTATCTTTAAGTTTTTAGATCAAAGAAGATATAAGAATTAGTTTACCAGAACTTTCCAACATACCTCCAAAATACCACACACAGTATGTATCTCCTCTTCATTGAAGTCCAAACCCCACTTCTTGAACCTCTGCACCACATTCCTTTCATTCATGGGCCAGATGTCCCCCCTTGCGCGGCGGATAGCATTGTGAGCTTCCATTGACGATACTGCTTTCCATTTCTCTGGATCCTCTTTTTTCAGAAGGAGACACCTAAAAAATATTATTAATATAATATTAAAGAAATATAATGATTGTGCAAGCGCAATCCTTACTAATGCGTTAAATTCAAAATTGATTTTATCAGATTCCCTTTTAGCACGCAGTAACGATTCGGCTCTGAAAGCTTTTCTTGCAAAGTCTGTGGCCTAGGGAGTGTTATGGGTGTAGTTTAAAAACTAAATCCTAACCACGATAAGATAAATCTCATCGTGGGTTATTGGTATATTGTACAAAAGCAATTGAGATTTGCGTTACATCACGGTTTCCAGATGGTGGAAGTAAACATATACGGTAAGTGATATCCCCCTACTTTTATTGAGGTTAGTTTATATATAAAATTCTAAACATTTACCTTAATGGCGTTAATGCTTGATATGAGTCTTTCAAATCCTCCATCTTACTGTAGTCAGGTACAACTGATTTCAAGGTCTTGCACTCGTAAGTCGAATGTCCAGTGTATTTGCCCAGTCCAGAACATGAGCTACTGCACAGAGGCCATTTACAACCTGAACATCTGGAAAAAATTAACATTACTATAAATTAAATTATAATCTTAGTTTCATGTCATCTGTGCTAAAACTATACTCTAATCCGCCTAAATTCTACAATGAAATTATTGAACTTATAAAAACTGGTTAAGTTTAATTTTCCAAGACAAAAAAACCTAAAATCAAGTACTCACTGTGTTAAACTAGTTTCATCTAATTCTCTATAACATCCGAGGCAGATCAGTCCGCACCCGGAGCAGGGCCCTACGGCCAGCGCCGGTGCTTCTATGATCACTTCGCCAGGCTTAATGTCTCGTGTAGCTACGACGTATCTGGAAACGTAGATATTTATTACAGCTACAGCAAAATGAATCTCTTTTATGACAAATTACGTAGAAAAAGGAGTTTAAACTGTTTCCTTGGAGTTACTACACTTATTGTTATGAAACTTAGATATTTTTTTATTTTCGGCTCGATCCGATCCGCGATTGATCCTAAATCAAAAACATATTAATATCTAGAATTATTTTCTGCTTCACCCACTGCTTCAGATTTATTAATTTGCCAACCGAAAAATATCGTCAATCCTGCAAATTTTGCAACGTCTTTTCATCCCCTTTAGGATTGACTTTCCAGAAAAATATGCTTCCGCAGCTATTTTTGGTCTAAAATATTAAAACTACATTCGCCACTGTATAATTGTATTACATGTATAAATATCGCAGGGCAGGTAGAATGAATGCTAAACACAGATAGAACCTATGCATTTATTTTTGAGAAAATTAAATAAAACGATTTTTAGCGATTAATTTTTTTCACATTCAAAGTATTTACACGCAAAACATGAAATAACAAATTTCGTAAAATAATTTCTTTAATATATCTATGTATTTAATAAAATAAAATAGTTGTGTTTTAAAACTCTTGATGATACTCAAACATAAAATGTAAACTCTACAAGTTTATTACTTTAAATTTAGTTAAAAATAAATTTTATTGCATTGTTAAAACGTTCAATAATATTGAATATAAAACAAAACTTCATAATTATAATAAAAATTTTAAAACGTATATTATATACGATGTGTAATTCTTACCTGCCCATAACATCTGAATGTTTGATTTCATAGCACAAGTCTTTTTTAAGTTCATCCTGCTTGATTTTGGATTCTTCTGTATCATCTTTCTCTTCTTTGGGGCTGACTGGAACTTCACTAATAATATTTTCTTTATTTCTCCCATCATTGCGCGTCCTTCGCTTCTGCTACAGAAAAAAAAAACTTTAAATATCCATTTTCAATTATTCTGAACACATATTATTTGGTTCTTAGATAGAACTTTGTCTTACGCAGGTGATGCACCGCAACATCGAATTTACAGTGTAATGTAGTAAATATAGGATTATGAGACAGTTCTAATGAGCCACGTCTGCGGGCTCTGGGGAGTGACGTAGGAGTGTTATGAATGGATCAGTGTCTAGGTGTATTTCCGTAGCCCACTTGATTCCTTGTGCCAATGACTTCAAAAACCTCTTTCATAGCCCTGGCGATGATTTATACGACCGTGAAATGGAAGTTATCCTTCGTATACACTGGTTGAATTTTTGTGCGACTTTATCAGTTTTAATCTTGTAAGTTTTGTAGTTTTATTATGGAGTTTGTTTAGTTATAAAAACATGTTAGCAAATTTTCTCTTTGAGATAGGTGTAATAGTTTCTTTTATAATACCTATTGGAATTTTGCTTAAATATTTTTAATTTTAATCTTTCTCATTTTACTAATCGTCGCATAAAATTTTATTGGGTTTGACTTTTGATGTGCTACTTTTGCATAAAAAGATGTTAGAATTTATTTTAGCAAGTGCTCTATGACATTTTTTGTGAAGAACTTCTGTACTTAGAATTTCTGAGTATTAGATATTTATTACTAGCATTGCCCACGGCTCCGCCCGCGTTCAGATGACCAAAAACCAAATTCTTAGGTTTCACATATAAGTATACATTGGAGTTTTTGTATTTATATATATATATATATATATATATATATATATATATATATATATATATATATAATACCCAGCAAACATTGGGTAGGCCTTATATAAAATTTGCTATCCTTTTAACCGAGTTACTTTTAAAAGGTGTACAGTTGTAGTTTAAACATTTGTCGTCTGTATGAACATGCCCTTTCTTTGGCACGCAAAGGTTATATTGGCACTTGACTAATATTAATATAACTTTACAGATTATAAGTGCCATTCCAGAGTGATGTATTACTGCCGTTTATAAAAGCTTAAACGAATATAACAAGCGTATTCAAATATCAAAAATTTTTAGAATTTAAAAAAAATATTTAACTTCCTACATAGCTGACTTTGATTTTGTTTAATTTATATGTTATGACATCTACAAATATAATAAAATTCTAAGTGAGTCTGTCTGTGAACGCGTCACGAGAAAACCACAGAACAGAGAAATCTATACTAATCGTTAAAACGTACCAAGGGACAAACACACAGAAACGAGAGGAAGAGGGTGAGTCGCTAGTTTTAAATAAAAATGTTTAATATGAAAAGTAAGTAAAAACCCAGAAAACTGTCATTTTTAAAGATAGCCAAATTGATTATTTTTATTACGTAAAACGAGATATTTATTATATTTTCATTTCGATTTATGAGTTTCTGATATGCAGGCTACTGTTACAAGCATCATGATCAAGGACACAATGCTTGCAGAATTACATATGTATCGATCGATCGAGCTAATACAATGTTGTATATATGTAAATAGTTGCGAAACAGTTTATATATTTTCCTTAAATGATTTTGTAATAATAACTCTGCACGCGCACTAAGCGACCACGACGCGACCGTCGTCGTCACAGCGATTATCTATATTATATATACGTATAATAAAATAGTAACTAAGGCCAATCTGTACATTGGAATAGACATTATTATCGATACAGAGGCCGAATCTATAGTTTTTAGAATTTCTCTCTATCTGTCTGTTACCGCATCACGGGAAAACCACTGGAGGGATTTTGATGAAATTTGGTATTGTGATAGATGGTTATCCGGGTCAACATATAGGATACTTTTTACCGCGGAAAAACATCTCATTTTTGAGAATAAATAGAAAAACTGCAATTATACTCTTACATTGTGTCTAATATGTAAAACCTAAGAATTAGGTTTTTGGTCATCTAAACGCGGGCGAAGCCGCGGGCAATGCTAGTATATGATATTTGACGATACGCTCGGCTCAGTTTGTAGTAACCCTACTTGCTATGCCAGCGGTCACGGGTCAGTTTACCATGGACTAAAAATGTAACATTAAAAAGTGATTGAATAAAGAATGAAGGTCTTTCTGAATAAAGTATATTTTTATTTGATTTGATTGAACACCGCGACCGCCGAACCCTCTGATGTTGAATACGAAACTTAATTACTATATAAAAATACTGGCGTCAGCAGTTGGTTTGAGACTTACAAGATATCACAACCACAATCATTGTGGAAGTTCAAATCCTGGAATCGAAGTTGTGAAATATTAAAAGTTGTATTAAAATGATGAATTTAATCAGGGCCGTGCGGCGTTTTGATGTAAAAGATGCGGCTGCATCAGGCGGCACAAAATAGGAGTGGTTCTTTTAGCCATCTAACACATAGTACTAATATTGTACATAGTGCCTTTTAGCTACGGAACTCTAATAGAAATTTTAAATTACCTAAAAGGCGGTATTTTAAAAACTTGCATCATACTAGGAAAATCTATTGCACGGTCCTGAATTTCATCGTTGTCATTGCATCGGAATAGATCATTTCCGTAGATATTTATTCTTTAGCGATTGTAGAATGGCGTTTTATTTAAGGCCACATGTCTCGACAACAATACAGTGCTACGACTGTGTTCTTCTAGTATGTTTGAGCTCTGAAGGAGAAAAGCATATTTAAAAATCATTTTAAAACAGACTATACTTTCTTTCGTTTCCGATGATCAAGTTTCATATATTAGTTGTACTATATTTCTCAGAAATGAGGTATTTTATCGCAGTAAAAATTATCCTATATGTTAACCTGGTTATCCACCAACTATCATCATACCAAATTTCATCAAAATCTGTCCAGTGGTTTTCTCGTGATGTGTTGTTCCCAGACAGACAGATAGACAAAAATTCTAAAAACTTTATATCCGGCCTCTGTATTGATAATAGGTAATGACTATTTCAATACAAAAAAATATTTCATGTACAGATTCGACTCAGTTAGAATTTTATTACATGTATAGATAGATTTTCAAAGTCTAAAAGCGTTCTATTGATAGCACGATTTTTCTTGGCAATGTTTTAACTGATGTTATATTGAATAGCATTACTATTGTTCTCGTCGTCGTCTTTTGGATCCAGTTCAAATTTATTTTGATTTCATTAATTTTTACGACAACATTATTTTCTTTTAAATATCTAGATACTGATATGAAAAACATAAGAGAGAATAAGAGACATAAGATTATTCTTTGAATAAAAATTTTTTAACAAAAAAATAAAAACCGACTTCAAACAAAAGCACAAAAAGTAAAAAATAACTGATTGGTAGTTTTCATTTACTATACATACCTAATCAAATATTTTCGAAGTCGGTGTGCTTTGCTTTGTACCGGCTGGCACCGACTTCGAAATTATTTGATTAGGTATGTATAGTAAAAGTAAGAAAAAAAAAATACAGCCGAATTGAGAACCTCCTCCTTTTTGAGGAAGTCGGTTGAAAAAAATAGCATTAAATACAATTAGGGTATTATTATTTTTTATTTTCTTTATTTCTTTTTTTTATTTATTATTGTGCGATTTATATTGACAATTTCAAACCACAAAACAACAATTTCATTGCGCTAAGTACCAAAAATTTCACCTCATATTACTAAATGTTTTTATAAAGCAAAACTAGTCACCATTGCAATTATATTATAAAAATAGTTTTATAGCAAAAAGTATGGTCTCATAGTTTATTTTTGAAAACCAAACAACAAAAATAAAAATGATTCCTTTTAACAAGAAATCTTAAATTCGAACCTCATATTTTCTTTTCATTACACAATACCGTAGCTGTGAGGAAAAGAAAATATACAAATCTTGCACTAGATTTTAAGTGGGGCGAGATGAATCAGAGAATCCAATATTTCTATCTTCTACATGTCTTTATTAATTGTGAATATCAACAATCTAGTTGCACTTATTTGCTCGCTCATCAGACGTGCGTTGTAATTTGAGTGCAATGTAAGACGCGCTAAGTCTATATTTTCAAATGCTTTATATTTTTCCTTACGATCGGTTTGAATGTTATAATCGTTGAGGCTATAATCGTTAAACAAATCTCGTTAAAATCTCATTGCCGACTAAAAATATTATTTTCGTAAATTCCGTCTTAATTCGTGTTATTTGATGACTTTATTGAAATTATATGAAACTAGCGACTCACCCTCGCTTCGCTCGGGTTCCTCCTTGGCTTGCTTCCCAATACAAACCTTCAACCCCATTTTCACCCCCTTGAGGGATGATTTCCGGGATAAAAAGTGTCCTATGTCCTTCCCAGGGTCTCAAACTGTTTTCTTACCAAATTTCATCTAAATCGGTTCAGTAGATCCAGAAATTACCCCATACAACGTCACAAACACACAAATTTACCTCTTTATAATATTAGTACGAGTAGGTATAGAATACCAGCGACTCACCCTCGCTTCGCTCGGGTTCGTCCCTTTTAACGTTAAATTTAGATTTCTAATTAAGCCAACAAATTCTCAGTAGGTATAAATTAATACTTTCTTAGATTTACGCGAATATTTGACATTTTAAATAAAACTATCTTTTCGGATTATTTCGCGGATTTATTTTGATTATTGGTTCCCGACGGTTTCGAATGCTTTTCAACAATCATGGTCACGAGAGAGACCAAGGTTATAGGCGTCTCAAATACATACTTGTTACAGACAGTGCCGACCCACTATTTTACAAAAAATTATTTCAAAAATTCAATTTTTGCATAGATAGTTTTATTTAAAAGGTATAAATTAATTTGTCATGATTATGTAAAGTAATAATCATTATTTAGGCCATGTTATAGTTACTCTTATCATTTAAAATATTAATAAAAATACGTTAAACTAGTTTTACCAGTCTTCATTGTCCTTTATTAGCTACATGTTCAGTTCAGGAATGCCACTGCCCAAGTTATACAAGACAGAAGACTTACCCGATTTTTGTTAGTTTG